TGTTCATAATTTTTTAGATCTCCTGTTCAGTCACATTTAATTACTGCCCAAGTCAATATTCCACTATTGTCAGTTTATTATTTTTATTGCTATATATATTTTTTTTTTATCTTGAAGGATCTATTTAAAATTGTAATTTTTGTTGAAATTTTCCAAGAATTTTTGTATGGAAGAGGAAATGTGAAAATGTTTTGACTGCTGAAAATCAACTCTTTTGATATGGTAACTAAACACAGGATACATATTAATTGATCAAGTTTATCTCGTATTCATTACTTCAGCTTAGTTTTTTTTATTTAATAACCTGCTTGTCGATATAAGGCACAGAATGGATGCACATAAAGTTACTAGTATTTTGTAAAAATTAACTTTTTGGTTCAGCTAAGTAATAAATTTAAAACTTGTGAAACACCTGGGCAGTGAAGGAACACAGCAGGTTTTCAAATCTCATTTGTTTGTATACAATGGAGAATTTTTTTTTGGTTGAAATTTTTATTTTTTTTAACCAGGCATCTTTAATAATAATTTATAAATGAATAACATTAACAGAGGGAATATTCATACTACTGCTGTGCACGATTCTTATGCGTGCATATATACATTGCTCATTGTAGTATTGATAGAAACGTAGGCTCTCCTCCTATGAAGTTAATGAGTAGGTATAACTTGAAAGGTAACGTCTGGCTTATCTCCAGTGAAATTGATTTGTTTCTCTCTCTTAGGATTAGGCATGGCTAAGGAGTTCAGCCTCACAAAAATGATATATTTGATACTTTAACATGTTTGGATAAGGGTTCATCCTAAAGCTGTGTTTAAAATAGACTTTCCCTTAGTTGGTCAAGAATGGTGCATACAAGTGTAAAAATGGTCATCATCAACACTTATTTGTTTCTAAGAAACAAAGTAAAGGCTGCTATTTATTGTCTGTTTTGTGTGTGCCTGTAATTTTCAATATCTTTTTTTGAAAAGGACAATATTTCCACTTGTTTTAGTTACTGATAAAATACATTGTCAAAATAAACCATCTGTCAGATAAGGAAGATCTGAGTGACAGACATTAATTTGCTTGTGCATTTTTGGCAGGTCTTTTGTTATTTCTATAACATAAATAATTATAAATCCTATGTTTGTTTTTTTTTAACTTTAAAAGTGCAAGACACAATGAAAGTCTTGTATTAACAAAAAAAAAATGTGATGAGAAAATGTGTTTAAATGGTCGGTTGGCGGAGTAATTGTATTTTTTATATATATGAATGATGTCTTTATTATGCAATAAGATGGCAAAATAATAAATTATAATAAATAATAATAGTACTGTGTTATTTTATCAGTGATCTGTTTTAACTGTTAGTTCAACTAAATGAAATTGGAGGACATAGGAAAACATATTAAGATAATAAAAATTCAAGACTGAATGCTTGCAGGTTAATGACAAGTTTTACTGTGCCATGAGGGAAACATACAATACAGTACTAAACAAGGATTTTGAGAGGGTTGGGGGGAGATGATTTTTAAAAGATGCATGTAAAGTGCACATTGAACAAAAATGTAGGGATCTTATAAGTAAGCACCACTGGTCATTAATATTGTGAAAGTTACACAATTAATATTTGAAACAAGATTCTGCTTAAAGATTTAAAAAATAACTGCATAATGTTTTATTTAGTGTATGAACCTGAAATTTCAAAAAAGGAAAAAGTTGATTTTTTTAAAAAGAGTGATCTAAATGGAATTACACTGACTTAAAAAACAAAAACATTGAATTTTTTTTTTTTAAATTGAGGACAAACAAAATATATTGGTGGATTATGAATAATTGGGTGCGAAACCACTTGCAATATTTATAGCACAATTTCACAGCTACTGCAACTGTACACAGTGATACAACATGGACTCCTTAAAGAAAAAAAATTTATTAACAAATTAACCATTTTATATCAATAACACTGTAACCAAATGTTTGATTCAAGGGTTACAATCAATATGAAAAATTTATTTCTAACATTGATAGATGAAATAGACTTGTTTTATTCAACCAGGACTAAAAAAAAGTCAGTGCATGATTGTTTAGCTGCATCCTCAATGGTCCTCATATTTGTAGGGGTGTGTAATTTTTCAGTCCTCAAGCCTGAATGCTTGAAAACTAATTGCATCGCATCTCACAGCTCCCCTAGAGTGCATGGCATCACACAACTCCCCTAGAGTGCATGGCATCACACAACTCCCCTAGAGTGCATGGCATCACACAACTCCCCTAGAGTGCATGGCATCACACAACTCCCCTAGAGTGCATGGCATCACACAGCTCCCCTAGAGTGCATGGCATCATACAGCTCACCTAGAGTGCATGGCATCACACAGCTCCCCTAGACTGCATGGCATCATACAACACCCCTAGAGTGCATGGCATCATACATCTCCCCTAGAGTGCATGGCATCACACAACACCCCTAGAGTGCATGGCATCATACATCTCCCCTAGAGTGCATGGCATCACACAGCTCCCCTAGAGTGCATGGAATCATACAACTCCCCTAGAGTGCATGGCATCACACAGCTCTCCTAGTCAGATTAAATGGGTAAATACCTTTTTTTTTTAAAAATGTCCCAACAAAACAATAAGCTAAATTTACTATAACTATAATATTATTTTTGCTTACAAGTATTACAAGTCAGTACCACTCATAGGAACAGAGATCTATCACGCAGAGAAAATCTTCAATCACAAAAACAAAAAAATATCTTTGTCTGCAATAATATTGATTTGACAAAACTAGAACAACAAAAACATATTTGTGCAAGCAGTGGAATGTATAAAACAATAAACCACAAATTAAAAAATAAATATAAGCAGAATTATTGAAAAATCGTGATATTGGTGCACACAACCAAGTCTTCTTGTTGAAATTTTAAAAATAGCTACTTTGACCAAACCCCTCAAAGTAAATATACAAATTAATTTGCTGTTAATAGTTTTAAACCACAAGATGAGATTTTAATCTTTAGGTTTAATAACAAGTGTTAATAATGTCATTATTACAAACACTGAAAAAAAGTTCATCTAATCTTTTTTAAACTGAAAAATAATTTGTTTTTTACTCTGGCATGCCTACTAAAGAATATTTCTTCACATAATTGGAGTATGAATATATAAAGCAAAATCCTTTTCTAATGCTATCCGATTTTATGAAGCCCAATTATCATGTTTCATTGGGGTTACACTGTATATATATCTTCATACATCTATCTTTCTATAAGGCTGAGATTGTGCCTACAGTCAAAATTTGTAAATTTTAACAAACTCTCCATTATAAAATCTACAGATCTGATTTGTATAGTCTGGAACAATAATAAACAGCCTTTCCAAAAAATAATAAGTTCTTTTGGGGAAAGACATTTAGACTTTTTTTCCCCTTCAAGTTTAAATAATGTTTTACATAAAATAAAAGATTCCTAACATTTGAATTGAGCTCACAAAATATTTTAACATACTATATAATACATTTTATGAAGCCCAATTATCATGTTTCATTGGGGTTACACTGTATATATATCTTCATACATCTATCTTTCTATAAGGCTGAGATTGTGCCTACAGTCAAAATTTGTAAATTTTAACAAACTCTCCATTATAAAATCTACAGATCTGATTTGTATAGTCTGGAACAATAATAAACAGCCTTTCCAAAAAATAATAAGTTCTTTTGGGGAAAGACATTTAGACTTTTTTTCCCCTTCAAGTTTAAATAATGTTTTACATAAAATAAAAGATTCCTAACATTTGAATTGAGCTCACAAAATATTTTAACATACTATATAATAAATGTATATCAAGTAAACTAATTTTAAAATAAATTTCTTTAGCAATATCTTAAATAAATAATTCTTTTTAGCATTACAAGCAATGTATGATGTTAAATTACTCTCAAATTAACCGAGTCATAAAAATGAAAGGTAAACAAACAAATTAAAAACCACCACTACATGATAGAACGTGCCCACAGAAAATGAACTACAAAAAGACAATATTGACCCTCATGTAATAACCAGTACAAAATATTCACACATTACCAAGTTACCCATGGAAATAAATAATTTCTTGAAATGTTGCATAAAACAAACAAAAATAAATTGTATGGTTGGACATAATTTGACTAACATATTAACAGGATTAAAAATAATGTTAAAAAAAATATAAAGTGCAGGTTTAAGAAAAAAAGAAAAAAAAACCAGCATGCATTTCCAACTTCTCTCATTCAGGCCCCATAATTATATTTTAATCAAATTAATAAATGCTCATTTCAAATAACTTGGATGCAATCTTGTAAATTTATTATTTCTTCATGTTTAATAAAATATGAAAAGTTTAAAGTTATTGCTTTAGACAGTTTTAAGCAGTGTTTTAACATTTCCATTTCACATATGCTACTGGTTTCAAAAGGATAATTTACAACAAAAATAATTACCTGAAGTTTATAGCCAAGAGTATTAAGACTTTTTGACTGACATAAGTTTCCCAATAGTTAAATAGTTTTCATAAGATCAAATTACTGATTCAACATCAATTAAAAAGAAAAGAATCAAGACATGTGCAAATAATAAATAATTTATAAAAATCGTTAAACACATCATTTATTTCTAAGAAAAAAATAACCCCAAAATACTGTTTAAACTTTTATTTTAAACTGAAAAGGGTCATTTATTTTATATATATTATGACTGGTGGTTAGTTACATGTTTTGATTTTTATAAATAAACATTAACAAGCAACAGAAGTTTTTAAAAATGTGGTATGTAAGTTATCTTGGAAAAATAATAGAAATTTTACAAAATTAATACTTCTTAAAAAAATTGTATATCAGAGTCCATAAAAAATATCATGTGAATAAATCCACTAATGTGGTTTGAAAATTTCATAAACATTTTGTGCTTTAGACAAAAATCTCTTTAGATTATCTTACATAGTCATGAATATATTTAAAAAGTGTTAAATTATTCCTATTAAATTAACTTTGTATATTACTTGTGTAAATCAATGTCATAAATTATATAGTTATGTAACCTGCGATAATACCATTTAAAGCTCTAAGTTAGCAAATAATTTTTACAAACATACATGAAAAGAGGTTTTAAAGACAAAATTAGTTGAGGGGCTAAAATAATTACCATTATTAATGACAAGATAAACAAAATAACATTTAAAAAAGAAAAAAAAAGCAACAAAAAACTTAAAGGGACAATACTTATTTGACTCGTAAAGTTATGTTACATTTGATATAATAAATTACCAAAGAACGAATGATTTCGCTCGGACTGATGTGGTCATAATATGCAGGATATGATATGTCTTTTATATTTTTTTAAACTACAAAATAGTTCGGGTCAGATGCCTGCCATTTTCTAACTTTTGTCATATAAATTTGAAAGTTCCAAATTTTTATAATAAAAAATTCAATACTTAAAAGCCACAGCAAGATTTTTAAAGTGATGGACTTCCAGCGTAGTTTGTATTAATTTTTTTTTTATACTTACAAACAAAATTGTGATGCTTAACAATATTGTCAGCACAACATCGTAACTTCATTTTCAAAGCATATCTGAGCAAAAAAATGAAATTGAAAAATGCAGTAAGTATAATCCTCTCTCTTGTGTAAAGATTTAAGCATGTGAATAAAATATTTAAAAGTAGAAACTCGACCTAAACTCTTTCGCTGCGGAGCAACGCAGAGTGCGTTCATCTGCCGTTCTCAAAAGAACTGACCAACGTACTTCTTCTTCTTCTTCTTTATTTTAAGGGCCCACGATCAATGAATTGATCATTCTGGCACTCGGTGTTGTTTCAATATCATTTTTGTTTCTTTGCTATTTCTCAGTTAAACTTTTTAAGAGCTATTTTTAAATAAGACTTTTACATAGAAGAGTGGTACTTCATTGTTTATAAGCGAAACCAAGTTTTATTTGTTGCCATTTGAAGCATTATTTTAATGATTTTCTTCGCTATTTTTTTCTACTGTTGCTATGGCTACCCTAGGCCCCATTAGGTGAGTAAGTTTCCTAGACTATTAACAGCTCAAAAAAGCTTTGGCATTGTTTTGTACTATTTTTTTGATAGTGAAGATGATTTTTATTTAGGTCCATCGCATGATTTCAATAGTAGTAGTTTTAGAGGATTTGGGTTATAGAAGTGCAGATGAGGTACATCACAGGGTTTGGGGGAAAAATGGTTTAGCATATAATGTTTTCACATTTTATGGTAATTTTCTGTAACTTATTTTATTTAAACTGAAGAAATAAGTTCACAAACATATAGTCTTTTCAATTATCTTTCATTTGATACAAAGTTTAGTCTTATAAACCAAAGAATAATATTTAGTCTTATAAACCAAAGAATAATATTTTAAATATTTTTAAATAAACCCAACCTCTCACTCTTTTTTACTCTTCGAAAAATAATGTACATTTTTTCGATAAAAAAATTTCGCAGCGAAAGAGTTAAGCTGCTAATTTTTATTACATTTCAAATTATGCCTAAGATAAGATTAAAATAAGTTTGTGAACCATTGTCTAACAAGTAATTTTTTTAAAATATTGCTTATGAGAGTACAAGTGACATCACAGATGTAATCAAATGATTGTCATGGTGGTATGGGTTTCAGTAGATATAACTCCAGGAGTTTATCTCATTCAGAGATAATATTTCAAAAATAGATTGCATTAAATTTGTGAAAGCGAAAAATGATAAAAATTATGAAAATATACAAATAAATATATTTATGTAAGTCACAAGGTCAGGTATTTTTCACCTTAATAACATTAATAAAAAAATATAAATAAATAGAGAATCTGGATCACTTGGTATGTCATCTATCCATTAGTCCTGATTGGATTAATAAAAATCTGTTTTTCCCTCTTTAGCACTAACAGAGGATTTCAGATGTTGATAGGACATTTAAGGTCCATTCATGAAAATCTCCATAACCTTTTTCAGCCTGGCCTGAGACATCTCAGCTTTCAACAGGCGATTGCGGGATCTCGTCAGAATTTCTTTGGCAGTTTCTTCCATCAAAAGTTTCTGAATCAGGAAGTGACAAACTATGTTAAATGGCAATACTAATAACAATGGCAGTAATATTAACAATCACACTGAAAATGTTATGTTTGATATTGAGATAGAATAATGTCTGCACAGCAGTTAATGTTTCAAGGAAATACAACCTTGAAGTTTGAAAGATTAAAAATTTCAGAATTAAACAAAAAATATTTAAGTTACAATTAATCATTTGCAATGATTGCAGTGATCATACATTTTTTAACAAATTTATTGGCTGTTTTGGGTGGGTGGGGGGGGGGGGGGTTACTAATTTGCAAAGTGAATTTTACAGTCATTTTTTTTACAGTAGAGGATTTCCATAACCGTCATCAATTCTTTTTAAAAAAAAAAATTCATTTTCAAATCTTGCTTTATTTTTAAAATTTTTTTTGGGTTTTTTGGGGGGGGGGGGGGGGGGGGGGTTACTAATTTGCAAAGTGAATTTTACAGTCATTTTCTTTACAGTAGAGGATTTCCATAACCGTCATCAATTCTTTTTAAACAAAAAATATCATTTTCAAATCTTGCCTTTCTATTTGTGTTTTGTGGTCTTCTAGCAATTTAAGTTACACATAATAAATAACAAATTGTGATATGATTTTCAATTCAATTTTTCAATTCAACCAAACCATGCCATCACAGATGAAAAAGGACAGGCAGAGTTAACATGGAAATCTCAACCCTCTTGGGATGGCTGGGCCGACCTGTTGGCTCAGAGTGTTGTGGCAAAAAAGACGAAAGGCCTGTATATCGGCCCAAAAAATAAAGGCCTCAAGATTGGCTGGCTGGTCTTCATACCAGCAAGTCAGATTGCTTCTCGCAGTTCTTGCTCATCTCACCTTTTTAATGGCAGCTTCCATTGATATTTTACAGTGTTCTGTCAATTTATTTCAATTTTTATTGTACCTAGTGAGACTTACAAATGCTTTAAAAATATGTGACTTTGTAATACCGGTAACTCAAAAGGCATAGGTAGCCCCAGGGGAATATTTTGTGCAGTTTTTCTCACTGAATGTCATTCAAATATGGGTTAGGACTTATTTAGGCTTCAACAATCATGAGATTTAACAACATTCTGCAAGTAAGATGTTTTTATTCTAATTGTAAAAATAACTGCATGCATAAATTATGCAAATCATCTTCTTGGCAATGACAGTCCAAAAAGGCTCCACCTCAAAAGGGTTATAAACAAGGAGATCAGTCTATGAGAATAAAAACAAAAACTGACCCTGGGACACAGCTGTGAATCTTTTTGATCTGTTACAATCTCAGCATGATGGATTAGCCCAGTGTTGTATGTGCCATCTAGAAATGCACTTCCTTCAGGTGCCTTCAGTGCATGTTCCTAGAGGAAATCATTAATGTGAAATCAAAATGAGCATTTGTATAAATCTACAATACTATTGCTGAATAAAACTTGCTAAATTCCCTTGAAGTTCTCCATAAACAAAAATTCATATAATTTAACTTGCCAAAAAACTAGATAAAGGACTTGCAATAATAAGGGGAAAATTAATTTCTTAACTTCAAAATTAGTCAATGAAAATCCAAAACCGAGTTTTCTGATTATTTTATATAATTTAATGAAGAGCAATGCTCAACATAATTCAAATTTTTCGTAATGAAAGACTTCCTTAAAAGAATATTTTATAACCCCAATATTGACACCTTTACAAATTGAACCATCAGGTCCACATCCGGATCGCTCAACAGCAACTTATTTTTCCAGGTTAACAGGGCAAAGTTCATATCCGGAGGCATTTTTTTATAAGGGGAGATGATGTGTTTCCACAGGCAACTCTTAGCCACAGATTTGAAGAGTAGAACATCCTCAGGATCAGCGCAAGGGTGGTATAAGAACACAACAGCTCCATGCTGGGCAAGAAGACAAAAGTCAACATTTAAAATAAAAAGATTTTAAGAGCTTTTAAATATTTGTGTATCACAAGAAATAATTGAATGCCTGTTCCAGTATGCCTATGTTATCTGGGTTGGATTGCTCTAAAATGTCCACTGTCACAAACATAGCACTACTCTGCAAGTATGAAAAGTGTATCTGCTTCAATCCTTGAAAAATGAATTTAAAATTGAAACAATTATTGTAAAGATTCATAAGATTTTGTTTCTTCACCATTGACAAAAAAAATCTCATTTTCTGGCCAGTGTTAATATTAATTATAATAAACACTTGTCGTTAAGCCCAAGGCCATCGTTTTTATTACCAGATACCCAAAACCTTAACCACTGCGCCCCATGTATGGCCTGTCAGAGAGCAAGAAAGAATTACTAGGTGGTTAAGTCTTCTCATTGTCATGAAGGCTAGAAATAACCACTGATCAGCTTTTAAGATGGTTATTTTAAGCATTAGGTAGTAAGTGGAGAGGATTCTCTGCCCACACAGAGTTAATAAATAGTTCCCCCAAAGAACCCACCTGTCTACAGGACCGTGCGTGACATAAACGCTATAGACAGAGCAGCCTTCAAAGCCGGCATTAAGACAATGCTTCAAGGGCAAGGTGCTGAGCTCAGCGCTCAGCATCTGGACGATGGCCTCCGAGCACTTTTGGACCAGCACGCCCCTCCCATGGCGCGACGTGTCCCGACTGGTCGCTCGTCGCCATGGTATGCAGGCGTTAGTGACCAACTCCGTCTGGCAAAACTCGTGCGAAGACGCGCTGAAAGACGCTGGGTAAAGACTGGACTGAGTGTCGACAGACAGATCTTTTGGACAGCGAAAGATGCGGTGG